CTTGCACTTCATTTTGTTAAACTTCATGAGGTTTGCATTGGCCCACCTCTCAAGCCTGTCACACATATCTCAGCATAGATGCTTTCCAGAATGCTGCAGCTCCAAGCATTTAGCATGCAAGGGCAGATCAGTGAAACCATGTTGTGAGATACAGTCACCATATATCCTCTGATCTCCACAGGGTATAAATGAGAATTCATATTGACAAGGAGTACACACAGCCAGCAGGAAAACTCAGGAGTCACCCAAAATTCCAAGTTCATCTTGGAGAGCAGAGAAAGAGTGCAAGCAGTAAGAGGCACTTCTAGCCCTCTCTGTTATCTGTACACTGCAGGGGATTTTGCAGCGGAAAAAGGTAGCTAAGGGTTTGGCTTGACAGGGAATTATTATCATGTGAATATGAAAGAAAAGCAAGCTGTTGGGAATCATGTTTCATTCCTTCAACTTAGTCACTTGTTTCCAGTAAAGTTTCTAAAAGAGGTTAACAACTTTTAATATATTAAAATATTCACTTCTCTTAATGTAAACAGCCCAAAATCCTGGTATTTATTTCTCCAGGCTCCAGTTTGTAGAGGGACTTAGTTCAAGTTCCCCCCTCAAAGGTCTCAAGTAGATGTGTATTTGTGCTCAGCTAGAGTTAGAAGCCTTGCAATAATCCATGCCAGAAAGAATAGCAACCCCATGCCAAAGTTTTCTTTATCTGTAATTACCAAAGATGATGAAAGAGATTTCCAGAGGAGGACCTCATCAACTCCTGCCACTCTCAGCAGTCGTCAAAGTTTGAAATGCTTTCCTTAAGAAACAAGTCTCCACATAAGCAAGCAACTACCGGCCATGACTGGGTTATTTTTGTGCACATTAATTTTGATGCAACTGTTCACTACAGGGTTTTGAAAGTTGGTGAAATGTTGAATGATCTTCACCCTTATTTTCACACCCCTTAATAACCACTTTCCTGGTTTCTGCACTGTACTTGTGAGAAAAGTATGCTGCGAGCCTGACTTTTTGCATGAGATCTTGGGTTGTGATGACCCTTTCCCTCCTCTAGTGCCAGGAGAGGCTGGGCTGAACACACACAGACTAACACCATCTTGTATATCTCTTTCCTCATCCTGTTGCTCTTACCTTTTTCCCAAATTCTGCACAGTGTTATGACCCCCTGTCATCCTCAATACAATGTGTTTTGTCCTTCTCCAAGGGAAACTGAGTCTCTTATTTTTTCAGCGTATCCCTTTTCCCATAGAGGAAATGCAAGGAAAGGCCATGAACTCCAAATTGTTACGAACAAGTAAGACATAT